CAGTCTGCTTACTTGTGTTATGCTATCCACCAGCCACTCCTCAGAAGGAAGGTTGAGCAATCTCCTTCCATAGTGATACTGCCTCAGCAACCCAAGGAGGGGTCGCTATGAGTCAGGTCTGACTCGACGGCACATAACAACAACAACGTACTTCTTATTAAATATATTGAAAGTCATTCTTAAGTACATTATAAATTGGTATAATTATAATATTTATTTGATCGTAGAATTGTTATGATATATGTATAAATGTTGTCATTGTTCTGTGCTGTGGAGTGGATTCGGACTCACAGTGACCCAATAAAACAGAGTAGAAATGCCCCATGTGGTTTTCTAGGCTTTCATCTTTATGGGAGCAGATCTTCAGGTGGGTTTGAATTACCAACCTTTCAGTGATGTCTCCCAAAAAATATGTGTTGTCAGTTGTAATCTCTATGCCAGTGGTTATATTGTCATTTGGTAATGGGTTGTCTTTGTTATGTCAATGAGGCAGGATTGGTGTGTGGTATGTCTTGGGCTCCTATCTTTGTGACATAAAAGGAGCAGATTAAGGAAGGAGAGACAGGAGAAAATTGATGTTGAGCCACCTGGAAATCTCAAAGGTACCAGGGAAAAGGAGCAGAAGAGACAAGGACCTTCCTCCAGGGCTGACCCAGAGAGAAAGCCTTTCCCGAGAGCTGCCACTCTAAGTTCAGAATTCGGGCCTCCTAGGAAGGTCGGGGGGAGCTCTGGTAGCATAGTGGCTAAGACACTTGCCTGCTAACCAGACGGCTGGCGGTTCAAACCCACCAGCCACTCCTCGGAAGGAAGGTTGGGCAATCCTACTTCCGTAGTGATACTGCCTCGGAAACCCAAGGAGGGGTCGCTATGAGTCGGGGCCGACTCGACGGCAAACAACAACAACAACAACAAGCGATGATAATAAATTTGCTTGTTAAAGCCTCCGCTTGCAGCGGACCTGTTACAGCAGCACTCAGACCAAAACCAAACTCATTGCGGTCCAGTCCATTCCAACTCACCGCAACCCCATGGGGTTTCCAAGGCTGTAAATCTTTATGGAAGTAGATCTCCCCGTCTTCCTTCTGTGGAGCAGCTGGGGGGTTTAAACCACTGACCTTCTGGTTAGCAGCCAGACGCCTTATCCACCAAGCCATCAACAAAACGGTCAATGCCAACTCACAGCAACCAATGTGACAGAGTCGAATTGTCCCATTGGGTTTTCTGGGATGGAATCCTCATGGCAGCACATTGCCAGGTCTGTCTTTCTCCCATGGAACCGCTGGCCGAGTTCAAACTCCTGACCATTAGGTTAATAACTGAGCACTTACTCTTCGCACTACCAGGGCTCCTTATAAGTATACATACATATATTAAATTGACTGTTTCTTAGGAACAGAAACGGCCTTTACTATCCCCCAAATTTTATTACTATTTTTGTATTAATTTTTACAATTTTAATTGCAATGCTACAATTCACATTGACGGTTTAAAAAGAGGGAAATTAGTCCTGATATTGTCCCTCATAGACGTGGTGAATGACATGGATCTGATAGGAAGAATTCATCTAATTGATGGCATAGCATATATGTGATTTATTGTGCAAATTTTTCATGTAAATAATTGTCCTTTTTTTCTATCTACTTATAAAAGGTTTGAGTGTTTTGTGTAATACACACATGCAGATTTCAAGGTTCTGCTTTCTAGTAATTCACACTGAAGTGCACCTAGTTTAATGGAGGTAATTGATACATTCTTACAAAAAATCGTTCTCTTGATATACAAAATGTATAAAAGAAAACTAAGATTGAGAATCAATTCATATCAATTTATCAAAACAGAGTCAATTTATTGCTGAAAACTTTTACAGAGAAACACGTTTTTCAAATTTGTCCAATGTTCTCTTGAACGGATTTAAATTATTTTTCTCAATAGGTTTGTGAAGAGTGACATTATAAGTAATTTTCTCTCAGAAAGCCCCAATGAATAAAAGTTTCTAGCTTTCAGAAGAAAAGTTTTTGAATTGTTGACACCTAAAGCCTTGGCATTTCGCCTTTTGCAGCAGATATTTTTCCCATTGTATACTCATCACCCCACTTTTATTGTTTAGTTAAAGAGAAAATTCAAAATCCAGACCCCAGTCCTCCTGCCATGTGAAAGCTATTCAAAGTAGGACAAAAAATAGGTGAGAGGTGCTTTCCATTGACCATACCACCTTTCACCTGTCTAACCAAGAGAAGATTAAGGCAAATATATGTTTAAATGCTTACAAAAATTGAAACACTTTCAAAATCATTTATATGAAAGAATTCATTTTACAATATTCCATATCCACAATCTATTTACTGTACTGCATTAAGTTCACTGACTAAATAATGAGAATAATATTGATAATCTTTTGTGTTCTATCTTGAATTAATATGAATTACTGGATAATTGAATTGATTGATTGATAATTTTCAAGACAATATCCAAGTGGTATATCTGAGGAATTTTACCTACTTTTACATCCTGAGAAGGAATTCCTCTCACGCTCTCTTAGAAATCTGATTGCTCCTGATTATTGACAGCTTGGTTCTCAGCATAGATGAAACTGAGTGTTGAATCAGGAAATGTGTTCCTTGATATTTTTAGGTAGTCAGCCAGTCAGTGTTTGTTGTTTGTATCCTTTCCCATAATAATGCCATTGAACATTTTCAACTGCTATCTTGGGGTAAGTTTATCTTGTTAGTGATGTGCAAGAACGTCTGTAACATTTTATCCTAGAACTGGAATAAGACACTCAAATTCTGTGCTTGAATTATAGAATAATCTTTTTGTGTGTGTGCGTGTGAACTTATAAAGCCAGTCTTAACCTGATTATGGTTAAATGCGACAAAATTCCCATCCATTTTATATTATATTAAATTTAGTTCTCACCCAATAGTTTTACTATTATTTGAAAAGTAGTGAAATAATGGATAACATTAATTATGTACTTGTCTAAATTGAAAGTTTTACTTTAAGGGAAGAATTCTTTTGAAATCAGTATTATACCTTATTTCCATCCAAAACTGTCTTTACAGTGTGAACATGTCTTTGGAAAGAATTTAAGACTTGATTTTTCTTTTCTTTTCTTTCTTTCTTTCTTTTTTTAAAAACTCATCACTTAAAAAGGATCCATGGAAAATATATGAGAAATATTGCCCAGGTTAAAAAAAAAAAAATGAAAATTTGTATCCCATTCATATCAAGAGATATCAATATATAACCATGAAAAAGATGTGAGGGCCTATTAACCAAATCCATTGCCATTGAGACAATTCCAACTCACCATAACTCTACAGGACAGAGTAGAAATGCCCCATAGGGTTTCTGAGATTGTAATCTTTACAGAACTAAAAATCACCACACCTTTTTTTTTTTTTCCGTGGAGCGGCTGATGTGTCTGAACTGCAAATTCTTCTCTAGCAGCTGAGTGCTTAATCCACTGTGGGTTTTAGAATTTCAGGTGACTTTTATTTTATTCCTTCTATTTCTCTAGCTTGCCACTGATTGCTTTTGAATTACAGATTATTCATTTGTATAATAAGGAAAACATTCTTGAAAGTATTTAGTGAATAAACATATAAATAAGCTGCAATGTGAGTGATTAGACAGCATTCATTTAAAGTAAGGAAATACCATGTACATAAAGTATACATAAATTTTATGAATTTGCATTCTAAAAATATTTATTTTTCCTCTTCTTTTAGACATTATTAAATGGTGTACAAAATATTGTGAACCAGTATGTGTTTCCCATATGCGTACTTACATTTTTCTGTGGCCATGATACTTATGTTGTACCAAGCGCTAATCTCCCGGTCTAGAGGGTTAGTTGTGCTAATTGTGCCATTGTTATCAATACTGAACATTTTGCTTCTGGTAATAGAATACCTAGACGGAAAGGAAAATACTTCTTAATGTTGTTTTTTTCCTCTGTATAACAGTGAAACGTTTAGCTCTTTTCAGAGAAGAGGATATATTATTAAATGCATGCACTCTGCACCTAATGTAATGCTGAAAAGTTTCCAAAAAGTATGTTCACACACTTAATATTCAGCTCAGCTGATATTGAAGGAAAAAAAAAAACTCCAGATTTAAATTGATGCATGCTAAATCTAAACACATGTCACTCACTCTCATTGCTAGGAGAGAATTTTAATAGAGAATGCTTTGGTTAAAAAAAAAAAAATTGCAAAATTCCATTTGCAAAATGAAGATAAGTCCAAAGAAGTAGGGATAAAAAAAATAATGCTTTTCAGCCTTTGTTTTTCAACTTTGAAGCCAAGTAATACATATCCTCAGCCTGGGCTGTTACTAGTCTCTTTTTGTACCACATAATTTTTTAATAAATCTGTCCTGTCACAATTATTTGATTCCTGATATATATGAAAATCCTGGTTTTGTCTGTTTAACAGGAATTGTCCAATAGCATTTAATAACAAAAAAGAGTAACACATCTTCTTTATATGGTAAATGAGCCTTTCATGTTATCTGGAAAATATTAGAAAACATAAATGAGACTTTCGTGTTATCTGGAAAATATTAGAAAACATAAGTCTATATAAAGTTCTGCCACCCTCCTCCCCATCAGCCAAACGAGGGGAATTAACCTGCTATTCTCCTTATCTCAAAAGTAAAGAACAGTAGATTTGAAGTCCTGTTAGATCATGCATGAAAATTTGCAAGTTACAAATTCCCTCATACGAAAGCCTGAAAATAATCTCAAATTCTATAATGAAAGAAACCTTTGAAGTTCTCAGCATGTCACATCTGCATGCAAATGATTAATAATAAAAATTAAAGAAGAGGAATGACTGAAATTCAATGATGGCTTCTCATTGCATGTATATCCTTCAAAGACTTTGATGAGACATCAATGAGGTTTGCCATAATTATGTGGCAAAAGATGAGAATGTTTTAATCTTCAACTGACAGGTTTCTAAAAATATCACAGTCATTTTTAGCTCAGTGTTCAGGAGAGAATTAAAATAGAAATCACAGAATTCAGCTTTAGAAGAGCTTGGTTACTCTACTCATTTTAAAACATTTAATAGCAATTTATTTCAACATCCACAAATGATTGCATTTCCTCCTTAGAAGATCTGTTGACCAAACGAAACAGTAGCATGTCAATTAGTATTCTCTATTAAATATTTTCTGGAATATCCTATTTCTAGAAATACATCATTCTAAATAAAGGCAATTAAGAGTAGAATAGAAAGTCATGGTTTTTATCCACATATTAAGCATTTGTTAAAAAATAAGAGTAATGGATGCCACAATAATTAGGTTTACACTAAAATGAAAGAAACAAAGCAAAAAAAAAAAAAAAAAAAAAACAGATGTCCGCCTCTAGTTTATTGTGACCATAGTGCTGATGTGTATGGTGTATCATTTTCCTTGGCCCACACTAGGGCCACCGATTCTTCTCATTTGATTGGTTTTCTACCTCTCCTTGGTCTTTATATAAGTTATAATTAAATTATATATATATATCCTTTTCCTATTATTTTGGAAATTTAAGACACTTGAATATAAGAAAATTAAATCAGAAAACAACTGCTATTTTATAATATTCACCACCATTACCTTGGCCACATTTCTCACTGACAATCCCTTCCCTCATTAAAAATAATTTTGAAATAATTATAGATTTAAGTGTTGTAAAAACAGTACAGGTGTTCCAAGGGTCTGTCACCCAGGTTCCCCTAAGGTGAGCATTATATAAAACCATAGTGTTATTATTATGTTATCAAGTAAGAAATGATTGGCATACTATGACTGTAGTAACTAAACTACAGACTTTATTGGGATTTCACCCATTTTTCCACTAATGTCCTTTTTATTTTCTGTTATCCAAGATAGGATTTCACACCACATTTAGATTTCACGTATCCTTAATCTTCTTCATGTTTTCTGAGCCTCCTGCTCTTCTATTACCTTGACATTTTTGCTGAAGATTGGTCAGTTGTTTTGGAGACCGTCCCTCAGTTTGGGTTTACTTATTGTTTTCAAATAATTATGTTAAGGTTATACATTTTTGGTAGAATACCACAAAAGTAATGTGCCCTTCTCAAGTACTAATTTTAATATCTGTCTGTGGACTAAGCCAACACTAATGATCTCTTTGGTTCTATTGATCATTTTTTACTCCCTTCATCTATCTATATGTATTACTCATATTTCTTCTGTAAGAAAATTTTCCCTTCTTTTTATCTATACCAGTATCGACTCATGGGTATATTTTCCTGTGTGTTATAATCTGAAACTATCATTATGTGTTGCTGAAATAGTTTTAGTTTGTCCATGAGAAGTAATTCCAGTGCAGTTCCTGGACCCTTTCAACATACTCTCAAATCTTTTTTGAATGCGTCTTTACTTCCTGGCACCATGAGATGTTCCAAGCTCATTTTCCACTTTTCCTAGAGCAGCTCAGGAATCGTTGGAGACTGGGGATGCTAGGTGTGCTCATTACATCTCGTTCTTTCATTACTTCTAGAGCTCTGAAGGGACAGCATATTGTTGACTAACATAGGTACAGATAAATATCCTTGCTTGACTTTTCATCAATTTAATTTTTGTGCTAATCTGTTATCTCCTCACTGTTCAACCCAAAGCTCATTAGCTGACATTCCAGACATACCTGATGGGAGAATTCCTGTGATCTGGATCTTTGGCAGATACCATGCCTACAACGGATCCATATAGGTTTCCTTCAAAAATTTCAAATACATAATATGGGAGGAGGAAAACAGGAGGTTCATCAGCGTCTTCCACCTGAATCCTGATGAATGTGGTGGAAGCCTCAGTGTGATATTTCAGGAGCTGTTCATCAACATGGCGGTTTTTAACTTTTGCTCTGATACGATAGTGATTCTGCTGCTCAAAATCCACTGTCTACAAAGACATACAAAGTACACAGAAGACATGGCTTCAGTAACCCAAGGCATTAGTCATCAGGGGAACTCATTAAATTAAATTTCGGTTATTTTTTTCAGTTTGGTTTTACTCTTTAAGTACATGGATTCCTCTGATATTATCATAAAACAATTCCATTACAAATCTCTGTGTTTTCTTATTTACATTTGTAATAAAATGTTTTGGAATAATAACTATATTTTTCATTTAGGATTAAAATTATACTTCCCAAAGTGTAACTATGATATTGTGCATTGATTATCTTGTATTCAATATCTTCCAATAAATGTCCTTTATTGGAAAATATTTATAAATAAGTTGTTCACATATCATTAGAAAAACACTGTAATAGATAGCTTTCTAATCCCTATACTCCTTTTTTCCTCTAAATCATTAATCACAGCTTTTAATTTCAATTATTTAATAAAACAAAGACTGATTGGGTGCAAAAAATAATTTTGTGTGTTTCTAATTTGATTTTGTACTATTGTGTAAGGTAAGTGATTGAAATGCATGTACCTTTTTTAATACAACTATTCCTTCTTGGGTCTCATTATTAGTGATGATGTCAAATGGTTGTGAATCATCTTCTATGCTGTAATCCATTTCTGCATTCTCACCTATGTCATAATCATATGCCATGATTGTTCCTATAGAAGTCCCAATGGGGGCAGATTCAGAGACATACAGGCGGTAGAGATCTTTTGAAACAAATGCAAGAGGGTTTTCATAAATTAGTACCATAAGAAACTCTCAGTGGTAGCACACTTTATGGATTGTAGGTAAACCTCTCCCACTATTTCCCTTCTTTCTCCTTTTATTTGTTAAAAGTGAACATTTTCCTAATATCCTCAAGATTTACTAACTCAGAAGCCCAATGAGGGTAAATGAGTTGGAATTAACTTGATGGCAGTGGATTATTTTTTTTAAGTTTTTAATTTTTATCATGAGTATATGTAATATCCAAATTTCTATTCATAAGCACCCCTTCTCAATATTTATGTATTTATTTATTTTTATTTCATTCTACCCTTCAAATCTCTTAAATTAACTTTGGTTAAAAGAGCTCTTCAATTTTGCTTATACTTTCCCTTGTGCCTAATTTTACCTACAGATATAAGTATGAATTAAGGGGGAAGAGAGGCTAAAACAAGTAGATGAGATCTACTTGTGTATTAGCTTGACTTTCAGGCTCTGAGACTGGACTAGATCAATCATAGCTGACATAAAAAAAAAAAAAAAAGTTGGACTCAAAGGAATTAGGAACTGGAAGAAGTAGTGAAATTATGTTAGAATCACAGATGTCCCCATTTTAGTAACAAGAAAATAATAACAGTTATAGTTGAAATATATAGATACATATATAAATAACTGAGGGCATTTGATTTTATTTCTTGAGAGTAACTTGTATAAAGCTTATAAATAATTATCCCATATTCCTTAAATAAATTATCATAACTTATGCTAAAATAATAATTACTTATTGAACAAACACATACCAAGGACCTGCTCTGTTGTTGTTGTTGTTGTTATGTGCCCACGAGTCGGCCCCGACTCATAGCGACCCCTCCTTGGGTTTCCGAGGCAGTATCACTACGGAAGTAGGATTGCCCAACCTTCCTTCC